TAGTCCATGACAAATCCCTGTTACAGAGGAACACCAAGTCAGAGATGGAGAATCTGCTCCCAAATTCAGTCTCTGGAGAAGGAATCACTGCCTGCTACAGTAGAGAATATCAAGCTTGATGAAAAAGTTGGACTAATATAAGGCAACTTCCTATAGGATTCACAAAGAACTATATAGCCAGTCCAGATATCCCTGTTTAGACATTCTCCCACTAAATGAAATACAAAATGTGTGAAAATAATCATCCACACAAAGATTACATTGCAATCAATTGGCAGAGCTCTTCCTCTCAATCCCAAGATTGTCATAGGAAAATGTCTTCTGTGGAGACCATAACTGCCATTTTTATTTTATTATGGGGTTTTAAGTTATGGTAATTTTCTACAGCACTGTTAAGTAATTCTCTCTCATTTTGCCAAGACCTAATTTTCTTATTAAGATGACTATTTGGTGATTAGCACTATGCCCTTTGCTCAGCTGGCCTTTAACTCACTTTAATATTTAATATGCAATAAATGACTCACTTTACAAATTCATTCTGTATTGCAGAACACATAGAACTAACAATGACTACCGTGACAAATGTCCCTTTGAGAAAGTTATGCAACTCCCCCCCTTTCTTTACAATAGCTTTACCTATTTCCAGTAAGAAATGCAAACAAGTACTAATAAACAAAACAAAGGAAAAATACAGGTAGTCCCCAGTTTAAGAACGAGTTCCATTTCCAAGGTCTGTCCTTAAGTCAAATTTGTATGTAAGCTGGAACAGTGTTGTTGTATAATGCTATATAAGTAGTAGTGTGTAATGAACTCGAATCATTGTGTATTTAACTCAAATCACTGTGTATTTAACTCAAATTTTGCTACAACAGGCTCTGTTCTTAATTATAGATCGTCTGTAAACCAGGCGTTCTTAACCTGGGAACTACCTGTATTTTTTCAAAAGGGTAAGACTCCAGAAAATCGTCAACTGATGCTTTACTCTCAAAATATGTAAAGTCCTTTATATTTAAATTTCTTTCTAAACTTCCAAAAGGTAAAAATCTAGATGCTATGAATCCAATTACAGATATCTCAATATATAATGAGTTCTTTCCTAATCCAGATAATTTAATCAGATCAACTATCTTTTGGATACCCATCATGAGCTTAATTTGCTCAAGAGCAAAACTTTGTCTGAGATGACTATACCTCTCGCCTTCTCAGTGAGGAAGCATCTCAAATGCAGCTAATTTCATGAAGAAAAAGGAATGACTGGGCTACAAAATCAAGAAAATTAAGCCAATCCTTCAAGAAAACTCTTTATTCAGGACTAGACAATACTTACAATAAGTTAATTAAGAAAACCTTTCACTAGTAGAAGCACAAGAACAAATTAAGGAACGGATGCAATGGAAACTAACATACGGAAAGGAATAAATTGGTTCTCCTTCATCTGCGCTTAGCCAAGGGAGCTGAGTGACTGATTTTTGCCTCACATCAAACTATTCTTTAAAATCACATTAATGAGCTTTGTATGTTACCAGTTTGAAAGTTGAAAACCAATGTTAAGAGAAACCTCCATGTCTATGTTGTTGGATCCAACTCCAAACTCCTGCTGAGTCCATCTACCTAACATAACTAAATCAAATTCTTTTTGATCAGAGATCAGTAATAGAAACAACCTAATAAAAAACCTAATATAAGTGAAACAAACTGCCATTTCAGGAAGAATCTGAAGATGAACCATAGAAGGCACTGGTACCCATAATACCTGGTCATTTATTTTTTTCTTGGCTGTAAAAGAAGACCACAGGGCCATGTGTAAATAGAAAGTTGACCATCATTGGCCAGATATGAAATGTTCCATTACATTCCTCATATTAGCAATGAACAATGCTGATATTATTTCTCACTGAAACCAGTAATTTTTTTTAACTATTCA